GGGCCGGAACTGTCAGCCTCGGTCCTGAGGACCGAGCTGGTGTCTGAATCCCCAGGGCGGTTCTGCGGGGGGCCAAGTCCCCGGGCTGGGTTCTGGGGGTACCGCTGGAGAGAAACGCAAGGCTCCTGGTTTATCTTTTCAGGGAGCTGGGACATGCTCCATCCTAATGGGCCTGGGCTCCGCGGTCTGGAGTCCCTGGGGGGAGAGGACCTAGCGGACCTCCGGCGAGGGAGGGAGGAAAACCCGGGTCCGAGGCACAGGGGCCGGGTCGCAGGCGACTGTAAACACGGTTTGCGTGCGGGCACCAGATCCCCTGCGACGCTGGGTTGAGGGAGGGGGCGGGGGCACGGTTGGCGCTATCGGGAGGCCGGGAGCCTGCCGGGTCCGATAGGGGGCCCCGCCTCCTCCACACACACCCACGGGCTGGCTGGTCCTGGGCCGGGGCGGCGGGTGGGCTGCGGGAGGCCGAGGCCTTGAACGCTGCGCTCAGTTCTGCGGGTGGCGGGATGGATGGGTATGTGTGGGGGCAACAATAAGGCAAGTATCCTGGGCCCGGGAGTTCGGGAGGCACCACCTCTGCGTACCCCTCCAGGGCCCTGCTGGGTGGAGAGCTGGGTGGGGCTTTTGTCTTATCGGTCGGCACAGGCGACGGGAAAGAGGGGGAGGGCGCTGTGGTCCGAAAACTAGGCTCGGCTCGCCTGACCCTTCCCCTTGCCCCTTCCCCCCGCCCCCCCAGCGGCCCTGCTGGTGGCCCACGGGCACAAAGAGCTCCTGTGCTTCACCGAGCGGTTGGAAGACTTGGTGTGTTTCTGGGAGGAGGCGGCAAGCGCGGGGGTCAGCCCCGACAACTACAGCTTCTCCTACCAGCTCGAGTAAGTCCGACGGGCAGGCGGAACGCCTCCAAGGGTGGCGGGGCGGGCGGGGTCGGCACCTCCCCTGCGGGTGGGAAGCCCGCGGTATCAGCACTGACACCTCCCCTAGTGGCCGGGGCTGGAACACTCTGGTGATCACCGGTGGAGCGCGGCTCCAAACCTCAGGGCAGGGACGGCAACCTCTCAACCAGGTCCAAGGTGTCGCGTACCTGGGTCTGGGGCGCCCCCTCGTGGTAGTGACCAGAATGAACCCGGCCCGGTCAACACCCCCAACTTGCTCCCTTTCCTCCCGGGTCCCGCCTCACTCAGGGGTGAGCAGTGGAAGCCGTGCCGCCTGCACCAGGCGCCCGCGGCGCGCGGAGCGGTGCGCTTCTGGTGCTCGCTGCCTACGGCCGACACGTCGAGCTTCGTGCCCTTAGAGCTGCGCGTCACAGCGGCCTCGTCCGGTGCTCCACGCTACCACCGAGTCATCCAGATCAACGAAGTGGGTAAGTTCGCCGGCAATGGGCGAGTGGATGGAGGGAGGTCTCTGTCCCCGCCCACTGGAGCTGCCCTTCTCGGCAGTGCTCCTGGACCCCCCTGCGGAGCTAGAGGCGCGGCGGGCGGACGAGGGCGGCCACGTGGTACTACGCTGGCTCCCACCTCCTGGGGCCCCCATGGCGAGCCTCATCCGCTACGAGGTGAACATCTCCCGCAGGCAGCGCGGCAGGGAGCGCGCAGAAGGTGAGACTCGCCCCTACTGCCCACCCCCAGCTCTCCCAAAGGTCCAGCCCCTCTAAGTCCCGCCCAGACGGTCACCACGGCCTCGCCCCTCCAGGTCCGCCCCTGACGCCCGACATCCCATTGCCCTGGGGCCCCTGACAGCTCCATGCCCACCCACAAGACCCCTTTCTCCAAGCCTCCCCAGCCACCTAAACCCTGTCCCAAACCCTAGATCACTTTCAGGGCCCCGCCCCCTCCATGCTCTGGGCCCCTGTTTACCGGGACCCCATCCTGATTGGCCCCGAGCCCTCCTGGAGCCCCGCCTCCTACTCTCATTGCTCCTCGGGCGCCATCCTTCCTTCCTCTGATTGGTCCGCCCCACCTGCCCGTGTCCGTTCGCGCGGCCAGGTGGAGATCCTGGACGGCCGCACCGAGTGCGTGCTGAGCAACCTGCGGCGCGGAACGCGGTACACCTTCATGGTGCGCGCGCGTATGGCGGAGCCGAGCTTCGACGGCTTCTGGAGCGCTTGGTCGGAGCCTGCGTCGCTGCTGACAGCTAGTGGTGAGGCCCCAGGTAGGGGTGTAGCGGGGCTGGGGCTGAGCTTGGGGCAAGCCCACTGCCCTGACCTATTCCTGGCTCTCCAGACCTGGACCCGCTCATCCTGACGCTCTCCCTCATCCTCGTGCTCATCCTGCTGCTGCTGGCCGTGTTCGCCCTCCTCTCCCACCGCCGGTGAGCACCCCATTCGGGCACCTGATCCAGACCCCCCCCCCTCTAAGTGCCCCCTTTCCTTGTGGAAACCTAGGCTCAGAGAGGCAGGCACGTGCCCGAGGTCAACAGTAAGGAGTCAGTGGCAGGGCCGGGATGCAAGCCAGACCAGGCTCAGACTCTTAGTTAAAATATGCTGGGGGACAGCCATCTGGTTTTCCCCTTTTAGATTCCTTTGCAAATTCCTTTACTTTTGTAAAGTCAACGAGATGGGCTTAATGGAAAGAGGTAAGCCCTGTGTTTCTTCTCTTCTGTTAAGCTCTTCAGACGCTTTATGATATGACCATTCCTCCTGAGGGTTGTTGAAATTCTAAGCACATAACATGTGGTTTCGCACCACCAGGCTTTGGCACATGTGATTCCTGCCTTGTCTGCTTAGCAATCTCCTAGTTGTCTTTTAAGGCTCTGTTCATTTATCTGGTTAGAAAATACATATTGAGTGTCAACTATGTATTAGGCACAGGGAAGAGGAGTGGAGAACAAGCCAGACATGTTCCTGACCCGGTGGATCTCATAGTTGAGTCAGACAACAAACAAGGGAATCAACAGATATTTGATTATAAGTTATGATGAGTGATATCACAGAAATGGGCTATGGGGACATGACAGCATGGATAGGGAAGACCTCTGGGAGGTGACCTTAGAGTAGAAATCTGAAGGTTGGAAGGAAGCGGCCATGAAAAGCAGGGAGAAGAAACAATTGCGCAAAGGCCCTGAGGTGGGAATGAGTTTGGGACAATGAAGCAGCTTCAAGAGCTCTATGGCTAGAACAGAGTGTGTGAGGAGGGAGTGGTGAGTGATGAGGGGAATAATGAAGTAATAGGGGTGACAGTAGGCAGGGTTGCCTACACGGCGTGGGGAAGAGATTGAATGCATTGGGGAACCAGGGGGAGGAGTGAGAGAAGTGACACAATGGACCTCCAGGCAAGCTGGGCCAGGTTTAGAGGGGCATGAGGCACTGTATATTGAACTCCTACACATCCTTCAAAACTCTGTTTCAGTTGCCTTCCTGTAGGTCTCTATAGATGCTTCAGCCAAAGCCCCTGCTCCCCATCCCCTGTGCACTCCTCTACCTTCATCAGGATCACCAGGGGTGAGGAGTATCTATGCCCCTGCGACTGGATACAGAGGGGATATAGGTGTGTTCAACGACACATGCCCATGTACTTGTTTCTTTTGGTCTCACCAGGGCTCTGAAGCAGAAGATCTGGCCTGGCATCCCAAGCCCTGAGAGTGAATTTGAGGGCCTTTTCACCACCCACAAGGGTAACTTCCAGGTAGGTGGTCTGGTTGTCCCTCAGGGCCTGTGGCATCCCTGCTCCTGTGGCCAAACCGCAGGTTTCTGAGCTGGCTGGTACTGTTTCCCCAGCTGTGGCTGTATCAGAATGACGGCTGTCTGTGGTGGAGCCCCTGTACCCCCTTCGCAGAGGACCCGCCTACCCCACTGGAAGTCCTTTCTGAACGCTGCTGGGGGGTGACACAAGCAGTGGAGCCAGGGACAGATGATGAGGGGCCCCTGCTGGAGCCAGTGGGCCGTGAGCATGCCCAGGACACCTACCTGGTGCTGGACAAGTGGCTGCTGCCCAGGAGCCCGCCCAGCGAGGACCCCCCACAGTCTGGTGGCAGTTTGGACATAGCAGCCATGGATGAAGGCTCAGAAGCATCCTCCTGCTCATCGGTTTTGGCCCTGAAACCAGAGGGGGCCTCGCCGGCCAGCTTTGAGTACACCATCCTGGACCCCAGCTCCCAGCTCTTGCGCCCAAGAGCATTGCCCCCTGAGCTGCCCCCCACCCCACCCCACCTAAAGTACCTGTACCTCGTGGTGTCGGACTCTGGCATCTCAACTGACTACAGCTCAGGGGGCTCCCAGGGCGTCAAGGGGGACTCATCCAGTGGCCCCTATTCCAACCCTTATGAGAATAACCTTGTCCCAGCCCCCGAGCCTTCACCTCCCAGCTATGTGGCCTGCTCCTAGGACTCTAGGCCTCAGATGCTGGGGGACCCAGCATGACCTCAGTGCTAGTCTAGGGCCAAGGCCTATCTGGCAGGGTCGGTGAGGCCTCTCTCAGGACCAGGGGCATTTCTGATCTGGCTCTGTGCCTAATCCATCCTCAGGAAGGCACAGCCTTGCAGTATTTCTAAATGTACAGGTGTATTTTTTTGTTTTATATATCTATATCTATAAATATATGTATAGATATATAGATATAGATAGATATATTGCTGTTCTTATGGCTTGGGCTATAGGGGGAACAGTATAAAAGGCTGTGAGCTCCGTCTGAAATTCAGGACTTGGAAGTCTGAATTATAATCATAATAAAATGAACTAACCACTGTAAGTTACACTAGCTGCCATAACAAACAACTTCTAAATCTGGGTGGCTTAACACAAGTAGTTTCTCTCATATCTCAATTCGAACAGGTAGGCAGCCATCCCTGGGATGAGTCAGAAGCTGAGACTCTTCTGGTCTCTAGCTTCACCATCCAGGGTCACCCTGGGGTCTTTAGATAGATCCTCAGCATCCAACCAGCCAGCAAGTAAAGGGAGAGAAAGGATTCTGTGGGCCATTTTAAGGATCTAGCCTAGAAGTGGGCTCCAGTGGCCAGAAATGGTCACGTGACCTCAGCTAGAGCCATGGATGGCTGGAAAATGTAGTTTAGCTGTGCACCCACAGAGAGGAAAGCTGTTTAATGGGCCTCTAGCTTGTCTCTACCAGTAACAGTAACAACATTAATTCACAGGGCTTTATATCAGGCCCCATTCTAAGGAAGCATTCTGATGACAACAAATGTTATGAAGTGGGCTCAATGGGAGTTCAAGTTTAAACACTTTTTATTATTATTATTATTATTATTATTATTTTTTTTAATCCTCACCCGAGGATATGTTTTTCATTGATTTTAGAGAGGAGGGGAGTGGGAAAGAGCTACATCGATGTGAGAGAGAAACACTGATCAGTTGCCTCCTGTACCCACCCTGACCAGGGATCAAACCCACAACCTGGATATTTGTCCTGACCTGAAATTGAACCTGAACTGAGACCCTTGGGTGCACAGGAAAATACTCTAGCCAGCTGAGCCTCACTGGCCAGGGCAAGTTTAACCGTTTTTTAAAAGTTTGGCATAACTTACAAAAGTTGAACATATGCATACCTTCTGCTGCAGCAATTCAATTTCTGGGTATGTAGCCTAAAAACCCTCACACATACACCAGGACCTGTGTGCAAGAATGCTCATAGCAGTGAATAAGTCAATCTGATAGATACATTGGAATTATATTCAGTAGGAAAAAAGAAATTAACTAAAGCCCTGGCCGGTATGTTCAGTGGTTAGAGTGTTAGCCTGCCCACTGAGGGGTCCCGAGTTTGATTCTGACGAGTGCACGTACCTGGGTTGCAGGTTCAATCCCTGGCTGGTTCTGGTCAGGGTGTATGTAGGAGGCGACCAATCGATATGTTTCTCTCACACAGATGTTTCTCTCCCCCTCCCTCCCTACCAGTCTCTGAAAATCAATGGGAAAAATATCATCGGGTGA